CGGCCTCCCAAAGTGCTGGGATTACAGGTGAGCCACCGTGCCCAGCCAATTTTTGTATTTGTAGTAGAGACAGGGTTTCACCATGTTGCCAATGCTGGCCTCAAACTGCTGACCTCAAGTAATCCACCGGACTTAACCTCCTACAATGCTGAAATCATAGGCATGAACCACTGCACCTGGCTTGCTACACACTTTTAAACAACCAGATCTTGGGCAGGGCGTGGTGGCTCATGCCTGTAATCCCAGCACTTTGGGAGGCTGAGGTTGGAGGATCACCTGAGGTCAGGAGCTCAAGGCCAGCCTGGCCAACATGGTGAAACCCCATCTCTACTAAAAATACAAAATTAGCTGGGTGTGATTAGTATGTTCCTGTAATCCCAGCTACTCTGGAGGCTGAGGCAGGGAGAATCGCTGGAACCTGGGAGGCGGAGGTTGCAGTGAGCTGAGACTGCACCATTGCATTCCAGCCTGGGAAACAAGAAACTCCGTCTCCACAACAAAACAAAACCAAACAACCAGATCTCGTGAGAGCTCACTCACTATCACAAAATAGCAAGGGGGAAACCCGCCCCCGTGATCCAGTTGCCTCCCACGAAGCCCCTCCTCCAATGCTGAGGATTATAATTTGACATCAGATTTGGGTGGGGACACAGAGCCGGAAAAAAAAAACAAAACAAAACACATGGCGACTGAGGTTCCAAGGGCTTGCTGCTCTAGAAGTCACCCAGTAGTCATTCTATGGCTGTTTGGTATCTGTTTCATTGTCTAGTTTCACACTCAGGAGAGAGAATACTGGAGGAAAAACGTCTCCCTCGAGAGGATTTAAAGGCGAGATACCTGGATATTTATTCTGGAATTGAGGCAGGACGAGGAATTTGACTGCACACAGACATCTTGATCTCATAACTCTCTCGAATATTAACATCATTTGTTTAAGAGAGACCTGGATTTAGAGGATGAATTAGTTCATGTTCAAAGCTTTAGGGCTTAAAAAAAATCTGGCCCTGCTCATTGTGATGAATGTCAGAGAGACTATTTCTGATTTACCAGGCATGTAATTTAGAACTCATATTTAAGAAAGCACCTAGCATCGTGTCTTGCTACTTGGCAAGGGTTTATTTCTTCTCTTTCCTTTCTCCCTTCCTGACTTCGTTTCCTCCTTCCATTCTTCATTCTTCTGATTTGAATCTGTTAAGAGAATACTGCTAGAGTTCATTCAATATCTCAAGCATGTCAGAGCACCAGCTGCACTGGCAAATATCTGACTTCAGCTTGATAGTTCTTTGACTCTTATATGCTTAATGACAAAACTATGTTCCATTAAATAGTTTTCTTTTCTTATTTTTTATTTATTTTTGAGACAGAGTCTCACTCTGCCATCCCTTCTGGCATGAAATGGTGTGATCTCAGCTCACTGCAGCTCCCATCTCCGGGATTCAAGCGATGCTCCCACCTCAGCCTCCCAAGTAGCTTGGATTACAGGCACCCAGCATCATGCCCAGCTAATTTTATTTTATTTATTTATTTTTTTGAGACAGAGTCTCGCTCTGTGGCCAGGCTGGAGTGCAGTGGTAAAATCTCGGCTCACTGCAATCTCTGCCTCCTGGGTTCAAGTGATTCTCCTGCCTCAGCCTCTCGAACAGCTGGGGTTACAGGTGTGTGTCACCACACCCAGCTAAATTTTGTTGTATTTTTAATAGAGATGGGGTTTCACTATGGTGGCCAGGATGGTCTTGATCTCCTGACCTTGTGATCCAGCCACCTTGGCCTCCCAAAGTGCTGGGATTATAAGCCTGAGCCACTGTTCCCGGCTGGGTAGTTTTCTAAGAATGCTATTTCTAGGTTGTATACATATTGGACTTCAAGAATCCTAAATACATAGATAGAGTTATTCTAGATTAGATATTTGCACTTAATAGTAAACAAACTCATAGACAGAGGATGAAAAAAAAGTTCCAGCTGGACATAGTGGCACACGCCTGTAATCTCAGCACTTTGGGAGGCTGTGGCGGGTGGATCACCTGAGGTCATGAGTTTGAGACCAGCCTGAGCAACATGGTGAAAACTTGTCTCTAGGAAAAATACAAAATTAGTCAGGTGTGGTGGCACATGCCTGTAATTCCAGCTACTTGGGAGGCTGAGGCAGGAGAATCACTTGAACTTGGGAGTCAGAGGTTTCAGTAAGCCGAGATTGCATCACTGCACTCCGGCTTGGGCAACAGAGAGAGACTCTGTCTCAAAAACAAACAAACAAACAAACAAACAAACACAACAACAGAGAGCTCCCATAAAGTAATGGTGGGTCTTGACTTTTCATTGTATTTCTGTTTGCTTTTTATTTTGCGGTGCTATGTAGTGGAGTTTTTTTTTTTTTTCTGCTCTGTTGCCCAGGCTGGAGTGCATTGGCACAATCTTGGCTCACTGTAACCTCTACCTCCTGATTTCAAGCGATTCTCCCGCCTCAGCCTCCTGAGTAGCTGGGATTACAGGCGCCTGCCACCATACTGGGCTAATTTTTGTATTTTTAGTAGAGATGGGGCTTCACCATATTGACTAGGCTGGTCTCAAACTCCTGACCTTGTGATCCACCTGCCTCGCCCTCCCAAAGTGCTGGGATTACAGGCGTGACCCACCGTGCCCGGCCTGTAGTGGAATTTTTTTTTTTTTTTTTTTTTTTTTTTCTGAGATGGAGTTTCGCCCTTGTTACCCAGGCTGGAGTGCAATGGCACGATCTCGGCTCACCGCAACCTCTGTCTCCTGGGTTCAAGCAATTCTCCTGCCTCAGCCTCCCAAGTAGCTGGGACTTTTAAAGGCCAGGGATGATTGTTTATTTCATGTGGATAACACATTTTGCCAGTATAAAGTGTGCCTTAAACCTTGTGACTGGTATTCCCCTTTTCCTGATGTTAAACTTGAACTCCCTTTTCCTTTTCCATAATGACCTGGACTGCCTATCCCAGTGTTCTTCGTGAATGTTGGTGGGTGCTTGTTGACGTTTCAGAGGGGAGCAGGGCTTGGGGAGGGCGAAGTGGTCAGTGCCAAATGAGCTTCTTCTTACAAAGCTGTCCTGACTTCACTCTCCGTTCACCCTTTACTCTGCTCGCGCTCTGCTGTCTGTGTATGCTTGGTGAATATATTTAACTGTGGACATTCTGTCATTGGACCTGAAGCTGTGTTTCTTGATGACAGGGTTTTTTCATACGAACACTGCGGAAGATTGCAGTCCACGCTCTGATTAACTTTCACGTGTAGGGAACATTTTCTTTGGCAAATGCTTCAAAGTTGAACAAACCACCTCCTCTCCTGAGTAATCTGCTATTATTTTGTGCTTTCTGTCCATGCAAAAATGTTAATTCTACAAATCAAATGCAATATCAAGTACATGGTAGCTACAAAAAATTCCATCGTAGAGAATCGGGGGTCCAGTTAACTACCAATAGGATATTTACCATTATTTATACTTTTAAAATTAAAGTTATTATTATCATTGTCAGGTGAGGTGGCTCACACCTGCAATCCCAGCACTTTGGAAGGCCAAGGCAGGAGGATCTCTTGAGTCCAGGAGTTCAAGACTAGCCTGGGCAACATTGTTAGACTCCATCTCTATTAAAACAATTTAAAAATTAGCTGGGCGTGGTGACATGTGCCTGTAGTTCCAGCTACTCAGGAGGCTGAGGCCGGAGGATCAGGAGGTCAAGTCTGCAGTGAGCCATGATCGTACCACTAAACTCCAGCCTGGAAAACAGAGCAAGACCGTGTTTCAAATAAAATAAAACAAAACAAAACAAAATTAAACTAAATAGAATAGATATATTAACTTGTGAAGAAAAACAGATTACAGCATAGTATATATGATATTATTATAGTTTTATAAAATATTTTATATCTCCCTACAATTATTGAACAGGAATATTGCAAAAAATTAGCAGCAGTCATCTCTGATTATTTTTTTCCTTCTTATCACTTATCCATATTTCCTAGATTATCTACTTTGAGCACACATTTCGTTGGTAATAAAAATAAGAATTTCTTGGTTGGGCACAGTGGCTCATGTCTATAATTCCAGCACTTTGGGTTGCTGATGTGGATAGATCATCTGAGGTCAGGAGCTCGAGATCAGTCTGACCAACATGGTGAAATCCTGTATCTACAAAAAAAAAAAAAAAAAAAA